ATCATACCCTTCCATAAAGAGATTGGTTAGAATCCAGTGACTTCAACCTTCACCTTCCCCACACTTAGGCTAATGCCTGGATCCAGGGAAGACCGGAATTAAAACAGGAAAATTGACAATTTGTACACAAAACTCATCAGCAAAAAGTGAAGACTTGGCTATAAATGGAACATTCTTCAACAATTAGAGATGAAAGGAACTATAGGTAAGTGCATTAAGATTTTTCATAGACAGATGAAAGGTTTAACCCTGCCCCCACCCCCATATGCACTCCTTGGCTTTTAGCCCCTTGTTATTCTTATAGTGCCTTGGAGCATCGTGAGATCCCTGTCCTGCACTTGAAGCATGCCTATTCCAGCCTAAGGCAGGGATCACATTGCAGAAGACACTCTTCCACAGGGAGAGAAGGGTGGGCCCTGAGAGCTTAGTAGCCCATGACCAGAAAAAGGGGCAGCCTAATGCAGCTTCCTTAGAATAAAAAAGCCCCTTTGTTTACAAGGCAGAAGAACAGTATCTCAGGCATTATACCCAGGGAGAAAGCACAAGAAAAGAAGCAGATTATCCAAATGCTGCCTGTTTTCCCCGAGTTCTTTGCCCATCCTCAGGAACTCCAAGGATACCAGGCTATTGTCAGCCTCATAGTACAAGGTATGGAAAAGACTCCAGGATGGAGCAGGACACCTGAGTCATAAAAAGGGAAAGAAGATTCTTGCAGGGTGATCTCCACCCTCCACCCATGGAAACATCAAGATCATTCAGGAGTAGGTAGGAGAAATTCCTCCCACATTTGGGGTTGAGACTCATCTTCCTTTCACTTAATAGATAGATTCAGCTCCATGGAAGTATTTTCACAGTGAGCAGGAAAGAGTTCTCTCTGAAGTGACTGGTCCCCTCTTATTCCTCTCTGCGCCTTATATACTGTGCTTCTGCCTAAATATACTAGGTTCACCTTGCTGCTCTTTCCCATTAAAAACCTTCTTTTCTATCAAATCCATACTCATTTTTAAAGGTAATGAAATGATTTTTTAAAAAATTTACAGTGAAATGACTGAATATTGAAAAGTTAAATCTTTCCAAGTTATACAGCTAGTTCAACTCACTACTTGAGCCATGTGCTTCTTTACTCTTTGTAAGAATATTCTTTGTTTCTAAATTTTTCTATCATCTATTTTCTAATTTTCCAGCTTTCTCAAGAGCTAGGACTTTGGTAATATTATAAACTGCAAGATATTGTTATACTATCCGTTGTTCTGCATGTAGCAGCTTGTTTTCTGAGCTGTTTTTAAAACGAGATGGTCTGTACTTAGGACCTTCACAACAGAGAGTGTTTTGAAACTTTACCCACTTTCTAATATGATACAATTTTCCCCTGAAAATAAGATCTGTTGTTATTTTGGGACTAATCTGAATTGTTCTTTTTTCCCCTTTTTTCTTACTGAATTTATCGAGGGGACATTAGTGAATAAAATTCTATAGGTTTCAGGTGTACAATTCTACGCCTGATATATACATCATCTGTATATTATACTTTGTGTTCACCACCAGAAGTCAAGTCTCCTTCCATCACCATTTATCCCTTCTTTACCTATCACCATTCTCCTTTCCCTCTGGTAATCATACTGTTGTCAGTGTCTATGAGGTTTTGTGGGTTTTTTTTTTTTTTTTACTTAATCTCTCCACGTTTTTCACCCAACCCCTCAAACTCCCACTAATCTGACAGCTGTCAACATTTTGTCTGTCTCTATGAGTCTGTTCCTATTTCATTTGTTAGTTTACTTTATTCATTAGATTCCACATACAAGTGAAATCATATGTTACTTGTCTTTCTCTGACTGGCTTATTTCACTTGACACAATACTCTCCAGGTCAATCTATGCTGTTGCAAAAAGCAAGATTTCCTCTTTTTTTTTTTTTTTTTACCACTGAGTAGTATTCCAGTGTGTAAATGTACCACAGCTTCTTTATCCACTCATCTGCTGATGAGCACTTGGGTTGCTTCCAGATCTTGGCTATTGTAAATATTGCTTCAATGAACATAGATATGCATATATTCTTTCAAATTAATGTTTCAGATTTCTTTGAATATATTCCCAGAAGTGGAATCCTAGTAGTCATAAGGCATTCCATTTTTAATTTTTTGAGGTAACTCCATACTGCTTTCCACAGTGGCTGCACCAGTCTGCGTTCCCACCAACAGTGCACAAAGGTCCCCTATTTTCTACAACCTTGCCGAAGCTTGTTTGTTGATTTATTGATGATAGCCCTTCTGACAGGTATGAGGTGATATCTCATTGTGGTTTTAATTTGCATTTCTCTGATGATTAGTGGTGTTTAGCATCTTTTCATATGTCTATGGGCCAACCATATGCCCTTTTTGGAGAAGTGTCTATTCAGGTCCTTTGCCCATTTTTCAACTGGATTGTTTTGGGAGTGGGGGTGTGTGTTGTTGAGTTGTATAAGTTCTTCATAAATTTTAGATATTAACCCCTTATCAGATGTATCATTGGTGGATATGTTCTCCTGTTCAGTGTGTTGTATTTTCATTTCGTTGGTGGTTTTCTTTGCTGTGGAAAATACTTTTTAACCAAGGGAACCATCCATACTCATTAGTGTTTGGTTTGGGCATCACCTTTCTCCAGGATATTTTCTCTAAGTGTCATTTTGTTTTCTTCTTCATGTGTCCCCTTAGACTCTGTGCTTACCTGTGACGTTCCACTGGTGACACATATTAATTTTTATGTTTGCTGGGACAGAGACTGCTGGGGTGTGCTAGAGGACAACAAGGCTGACAGGGGACCAATGCTTTAAGGTAAATTCTCATGCTTTGCATGGCTAAAAAAATCAATATTTGTTAATAACTGATGCATTTTTTAAAACATAGTTTCAGGTATCACTAATATGGTTCTTATTGAGGCAGGATAGTTCGATGTTAAGAGAATTTTTGACAAATGGGAAAAAGGAAACTGAGGCAGATGGTTAGACAAATGGGGCCAAACCATTTGAGCCATTTACAATCAGCAAGTAGACTGCAAGATCTTATCTTCCCTAACCAAGGACACTTGAGAGCAAATGGTTTACACCCCTCCTCCCTAAGCAGAGAGTGAGTAGCTTAAATCACCCTGGTCAGGGAGCTAGAGGACAGAGACCCAGTTAGTGCCATTAGTGCCAGCCAAACCCAAGTAGGGATGAAGTCAGGGGGATAAATAACAACAACAACAACAACAACAAAAACAATTAGAGCCAAACAAATCTAAGTTAGAGGTAAAACTGACCAGAAAATGACCCCGGGTTCCTCTATGTGCTTATTTTGGTATATCAAGGTATTAAAGAACGCACCTGGAAAGCTGATAAATATTCTGCTGAAACCCTCCCCTGAGACCTCCCCTAGGATTCCTGTCCACAAAAGAGAGATAAAAACTCTTAAGACAAAGGGTGCCCTCACAGGGCTCCCTCTGGAGCAGGCCCACACCTTTCTTCCCTCTTTGTTTCCCAACCGTGTAATTCTGCTCTTTCTCCTAAACTCTAATGATCCTGGCAGGACTTGCAACCAGGGAAGCAGCAGGCAGTGGCAACTCATCGCAGGCTAACCCCGTGATCCTTCCAAAGCCCTCTTTCTCTGACTTTTCTGTGAGCTGATAGCAGCCTTGCCTTGGCTCACTATGGTCGCTGTAACTTTTACTTCTCTGTAACTCAATGCAGCCCATAATGGCTCACTTCTTTCTTATAACATTTCTAGTGAGCCAAAACAAAGTTCCACATAGGCTTTCTCCTCTTATTCATCCTAAGCCCTTCCTTTGTTTCACTGTCCCCAGCTTTAATAAATGTACTCTCGAAATCACCTGGGCTTGTGTTGTGAAATTTTTCCTGCATGAAGTCAAGAACCCACACACTACAAGCTGGCCCAAGGCAGACTCACCCCAGGCCCAGTGCCTTTCTGGTAACATTATAACTGGTGGTCTTCAGAACTAACTGGAAGGACTCGAATTGAATAGTAAGGACTTCATTTCTGATTTTGTTAGTAATTACCAGGAATTCATAATTCTGTCTCTGGCAAGTTTATTTAATAGAGCCAAGTATGTGAAAGGGCCTTGGATTGGTATCATGGACTGAAAAGCTTAAGAAACTCTTAACATTCCATGGAACATTAGCTTGAAGTTGACAATATATAAATAGGTATGGATACCTGACTGAATCAATTAGTTTATCTTTCTTATTCCTTTTAAAAGTTGCAGAACTTGCTTTAGATAGGCAAGCACTTTGTGACAAGCTGAGTTTAGTTAGACCCTTGGGTTGCCAGGGTAGGTAATTCTCCATGAAAAGGGTAATTTCATATAAGATGTACTAATAGCCTAAGTTCCTGTGACTTATTTTATAGCTGAGCAGTTGAAGGACAAACAGGCTGGATGCACTGATAGTCTTCCAAGGAAAGTGGCAAGCCAAGCAGAGTCTGGTGCCCTAACTTACAGTCCATGGCTTTCTCTACCACAGCACTTGTCATCTAAGTGCTGGAAACTCTTTTAAACCCTTCGTACTATTATTTCACTTGCTCCTTACAACTTTTTCAAAGCTACTCAGCTAGTAAGTAGAGATGCCGGAATTCAAAGCTAGGCTTTGAATCTGGTTCAAGCTCTGATCCTGGTTGAATGGGGATCATATTCTTCACAAAATCATTTTTCTGATATTTTTGCTAAACTCAAATGCTCAATGATATTATTATAATAATGAAGTATCACCATTTAAAATCTGAGAATGGGAAATGTGAAGATGGAGGCTCTTGGCACTTTCATACCTAAGTTTTAACTACCCTTTACAGAAAATCTTTGCCAACTCTAGTATCAATTAAATGGGACCTCAGGTCCTTCAAATCTTAACAGGATTAGTGATTGGAGAAAGTGGGGGTATGTGTGCTATATCATGAAAAAATAAGTTTCAGGATTGCTCTGGAGAAGACCTGTCCTCACCAGGATTATGTTCATGTTGTTGCACAGGTGGGAAAGATAATGGCTCCTGGTGGGAACCAGAGCAGTGGTGTGACAGAGTTCATTCTGGCAGGTGTCCCAAATCTCAACAGCACAAAAGAAGAATTGTTTTCTGTCTTCCTTCTTGTCTACCTTCTGACTCTAACAGGCAATGTGTTGATTGTTGGGGTAGTAGGAGCTGATGCTCGCCTGCAGACTCCTATGTACTTCTTTCTGGGTAACCTGTCCTGCCTAGAGATCCTGCTTACTTCAGTCATCATTCCCAAGATGCTGAGCAATTTTCTCTCAAGGCAACACACCATTTCCTTTGCTGCATGTATTACCCAATTCTATTTCTACTTCTTTCTTGGGGCCTCTGAGTTCTTGCTGCTGGCCGTCATGTCTGTGGATCGCTACCTGGCTATCTGTCACCCTCTGCACTACCCCTTGCTCATGAATGGTACTGTGTGCTTTCGGGTGGCCTTGGCCTGCTGGATGGGGGGACTCCTTCCTGTGCTTGGCCCCACAGTTGCTGTGGCCTTGCTTCCTTTCTGTGAACAAAATGCTGTGGTGCAGCACTTCTTCTGTGACAGTGGGCCACTGCTCCGCTTGGCATGCACCAATACCAAGAAGCTGGAGGAAACAGATTTTGTCCTGGCCTCTCTCGTTATTGTATCCTCACTGATGATTACTGCTGTGTCCTATGGCCACATAGTCCTGGCTGTTCTGCGCATCCCCTCTGCTTCAGGCCGTCAGAAGGCCTTCTCTACCTGTACTTCCCACTTGATGGTGGTGACCCTTTTTTATGGAAGTGCCATTTTTCTCTATGTGCGGCCATCACAGAGTGGCTCTGTGGATACTAATTGGGCAGTGACATTGGTAACAACATTTGTGACACCACTGCTGAATCCATTCATCTATGCCTTGCACAATGAGCGAGTCAAGGAAGCTTTGAAGGATATGTTTGGAAAGGTGGTAGCAGGCTTTTGGGAGGATCTTTTATTTGCTAAGAGTTTCAACCAAAAAAAAATAATGAAGTAAAAATGAAGGGATATAATAACTACTCTTAAGTCCAAGTCTTCTCTGTTGTCATTCTCTTTCCTATTATCATCATGAATATCACTAAATGACTGAGTTCTGAGACTATTATGTAACTTCAGAGTCATCAAGTCTATCTTTTTTTCAGAAAAAAAGTTCCTTGATTTTATCTCACACATAAACCCATATTATTATTGACATATCACAATCAAATCATTGTTACATCATAAGACCCTCCAATCTGCGAGATGCTGGAATTCAAAGCTAGGCAATCTGTTTCAAAAGCTTAATCTAAGGGTCCATGGTCACCAGGGAATTATCTAAGAATGGGCTCCAGAAAATTATAAGCCTCATTGGTATGTAAATTTTGTGTTGAACTTACACATATTTGAGGGATGTATCTATATGTGACCCTCACCAAAAGTTAAAAACTGATCGAAATCCTCAGTAGAGTCTTCCAATTGTTTGTGAAAGCCAAGAATTAAGCCCTGACTAGGTAGTTCAGTTGGTTAGAGCATTGTTCCAATATGCCAAGATTGCAGGTTCGATCCCCCAGTCAGGGCACAAACCAGAATCAACCAAAGAATGCATAAATAAGTGGAACAACAAATCAATGTTTCTCTCTCTTTCTCTCAGAATACAGTAAGTAACAAAATAAAATAATTCCTTATAATAAAAAACAAAATAAAATATATATATTATCTGGATATTTTTATATTCACATTCCAAAAAATTATATTTACTGTCAGGTGGAAAAGAGGTAAAACAAATTTAATAAGTGACTAATCTACTTCTCCACAGTAATCCAAAGTGTCTTTGAAAAAGCAGTTCAAAGAAAAATTTTATGAATAATAGCATTTAAGGTGTTTTTTTCATTTGTACTTTATTAGAAAAATGGGTTTAAAACATCACTCATTTTATCACTGGATTGTATTCGTTTAATTTGTTCATCTTTTTATGTTCCTATATCTGTTGTTGTCAATTTTTTGTTGTTCTTCTTTTTTTGTTTTTAATAAAATTGAGATTGTGTTGAGGACCTTTAATATTAAAGAGTTAAGAATGGCAACTATAGCAACCAACTACCAAGAACCAGACTTCGTGGTACATTTTATCTACCTCATTGGATATTTGAAAGGAAACGGGGAGAGTGTAGTCAAGATGGAGGCATAGGTAAACATGGCCTGTCTCCTCACACAACCACAGCAAAAATTACAACTACCATATTTTGTCATGTATAATGCATTCTCATACATAATGCACACTCACATTTTTCAGGAAAAATATCTTTAGTTTTAAGTTTTTAAAAGATTTTATTTATTTATTTTTAGAGAGAAGGGAAGGAAGGGAGAAAGAGAAACATCAAAGTGTGGTTGACCTCTCGCATGCCCTCTACTGGGGACCTGGCTCACAACCGAGTCATGTGTCTTGACTGGGAATTGAACCAGTGACCCTTTGGTTCAGAGGCCAGCACTCAATCTACCGAGCCACACTAGCCAGGGCCACATTTTAATTTTTAATTCAATTTTTAATTTATATATAAAACTGATTATCATATTACAGGGTGTTATTTTGCACATGGATATCATTATTGCTTTCTGGAGTTACACTTTTAAAGCATAAAAATAAAAAAGAGAATTAAAAACATTTATATATATATGGAATTAGTACTACCCATGTTTAATGCACATCCTTATTTTTTCCTTCAAAAATTTGGGCAAAAAAGTACATATTATACACAGCAAATTATGGTAAATTACAAAACAACTATCACCCAGAATAGTCAGAAAATCAAGCTACATGGAAATCCAGTGACCAAGGATTTAAAGAAGTCACATTCATCCAGACAGGTAGGAGGGACCAAGATGCAGAGACATGCAATGGGCAGTCCCACATCCACGTGTGGTGGATAAAAATTGGGAGGGATACCTCAGGAATGAAGGATCCCAGCCCTACACTAGACCACCCAGTCCAGGATTCCACTGCCAGGAAGATAAGTCACAATTTCTTTTGGAAGAAATTGTGAGATTCTCAGGTGTTTCCTTTTAAAGGGCATGCAGTGAATTTAGGACTTATGCAGACTCACTCCCTCTGGGCTCCAGCACTGGGACAGCAACTGCAAGGGCACAGTGGCATATGGGGAGAAACGGAAGTATCTGGAATTGGGGGAGTGCCAAGGGACAGCTTTCTCCCAGATAAAACTCCAAAGGCCAAGCAACAGTATTTGTTCTTTTTCTGAGCACAACTCCCCCCACCCCCCGCAGCACACACAGACAAACACACAGGCACAGAGCAGTGACACCATATCTGAGACTCCATCAACCTGATTCACATGGGTTGCCCTGCCCTGGCAATTACTGAATGCTCTGCCCCATCCAACTTATGGGTGCACTTCTCTATAATAGACCATGATACCAAGACTGGGAGTCAAAGCAGCTCTACCTAATACATAGGAACAAACACAGGGAGGCTGCCAAAATGAGGAGACAAAGAAACATGGCCCAAATGAAAGAACAGATCAAAACTCTAGAAAAAAACTAACTAAAATGAAGATAAGCAACCTATCAGATGCAGAATTCAAAACAGTGGTTATTAGGATGCTCAAGGAATTCACTGAGTACTTCAAGAACGTAAAAAAGACCCAGACATAAATGAAGTTTACACTAAGTAAAATAAAGAAAAATTTACAGAGAATCAATAGTAGAATGGATAAAGCCGAGAATCAAATCAGTGATTTGGAACATGAGGAAAGAAAAAAAACAACCAATCAGAACAACAAGAATAAAAAATAAAGAAAAAAAACAAGGGTAGGGTAAGGAGCCTCTGAGACAACTTCAAATGTACCAACATTTGAATCATAGGAAGGCTGGAAGAAAAGAAAGAACAAGAAATTGAAAACTTATTTAAAAAATAATAAAACTTCCCTAATTTGGCAAAGGAAATAGACATACAAATCCATGAGGCACAGAGAGTCCCAAACAAGATGGACCCAAAGAGGACCACGCCAAGACACATCATACTTAAAATGCCAAAGTTTAAAGATAGAGAGAATCTTAAAAGCAGCAAGAGAAAAGCAGAGAGTTACCTACACAGAAGTCCCCATAAGACTGTCAGCTCATTTGTCAAAAGAAACTTTGTAGGCAAGAAGGTACTGGCAAGAAGTATTCAAAGTGATGAAAAGCAAGGATCTACAACCTAGATTACTCTATCCAGCAAAACTATCCTCTGGAATTGAAGGACAGATCAAGTGCTTCCCAGTCAAGGTAAAGCTAAAGGAGCTCATTCTTGCCAAGCCATTATTATACAAAATGTTAAAAGGACTTATTTAAGAAAAAGAAGATAAAAGCTATGAACATTATAATGGCAATAAATTCACAACTATTAACAACTGAACCTAAAAAACAAATTAAGCAAACAACCAGAACAGAAACAGAATCATAGATAATAGAGATTATTTGGAGGGTTATCAGCTGGGAGGGGGAAAGGGAGAGAATGGAAGAAAAGATGCAGGGATTAAAAAGTACAAATTGCTAAGTATAGAATAGACAGGGGGATATTAAGAACGGTGTAGAAAATGGAGTAGCCAAAGAACTGATATGCATGACCCATGGGCATGAACTGAGGTGGGGGGTTGCCAGAGGGAATGGGAGTACTGGGTGGAGTGGGGTAATTATAATAGCGTAATCAATAAAAATTTGTTTTTAAAAGTGAAATTCCAACAGAAAAAAAAACAAAACAAAAAAAAGAGGGAATAGGGATTCTTATTTTGGTACTTTGGAAATCTTGGACAAATATTTATTCATTTATTCATTTCTTTAACAAAGGTCTGTAAGCATATACTAATATATGCTAAAGTAAACAGGAAATGGCTCCTAACCTAGAACAGGAATGGGGATAATAAGGTGCTTTACAAATGACGTTGGAGATCATATGAAAGTTGATTTACTATTTCTAGCACTCTATTGTCAGAGAAGTTTCCAGAGGCAGTCTTTCATTAAACAGGAATTAATTCCATGTTATAGTGTGTTTCTATGCATAAAAACAATGTTTCAAAAACAGTAAGATATGGACAGCACATCAACCTCAAAAAAGTGCTGCAAAATTGGCAAACTGAGCATTACCATGCAAAGAGATGGCCATAAAGTTTGAGTGGGCACTAAAACCCACAGGAAATCAAATATTGAAAAGTGCTCAGAAAAACTGTACTACAATTTCTGCTAATGGCAAATGCTTGCAGACTCCACTCTCTGAATGAAGTGATGCTGCAGGTGGCGCTAACACCCACCACACGAGGTACTGTGGACAGATAGGGCGCTACAGGGCTGCAGAGTTAACAGCCACAGTTTCTTGTGTTACAACTCTATTTTTAAAAATTACTAAACCCGGTCAAACGTGACAACAGTACAGAACATTGCATTATGCAGCAAGAAACATGCGATACAATCGTGTCAGGTTCTCTGTGTAGAATGTCTTCCATCTTCAAATGCTCTTCAGAAAGTCCCAACTCCTTAAGAAAAGGAGAAAAGTATTGTTAATTCTATTAGTAATACGCACAAACACATGCTAAATATTTCCAATCCATAACATTTCTGAGTGAGAGCTAAAGGAACAGCAGGAATGATCAGTGATTTGAGAGGGAAGCAAAAATCTTCAGTGATCTAGAAGTGTTGCCCAGAGAGCAGATGATATATTGCTTTGAAAACGACCTAATTTCCTGGAGCATAGAAACTGAAGTCTATCCCAGACAACCGCCAAAGGGGAATTTACATAACAGTTTATAACATTTCTTGAAGGAATCACCCCCATATTTTGGCAATAAAGTTTGTTGAACCACCTATTGTTTCAAAATTACTTCATTGTTGAAAATTACTTTGGACTCAATTCAATACAAACTTATTGAATACCATGTTCTGGGAAGTAAACTGTCTTTAACCTTTGCCATTTTAATTATGGTGTGGGAAGACTATTTTCTGATTCCTCTCCTAAACCCAGCGATTTTTCTCCAG